CCCCAAAACCCCAAAACCCCAAAACCCCATGAATGAATTTCAATGAAAATTTTAGAAATAGAAATAGCATCAATATATATTCAATAAAATATAATAATGCTACAATGTGTTCATTATAAAACTATTGATCTTGATGAGATATCAGATAAGTTGATAGAAAAGTACTCTAATTGCAATTATTACTGTCTCTCTTGTGGATTAAAATCCAGTAGAGCTAATAGTATCTCTATCGCTACAGCAAGAAGAAATGCAGATTAAAGTCATATACAATCAGATAATGTTTTAGTAAATTCGAAGGTTGATGACTCTTACACTCCAACAAAAGTCACTAAGAAGGCTAGTCTGAAAAATAGACAAAATCTCCAAAATTAACATCTTAACGTATGCCTAGAATGCTTGGATTGCTTTTGCAACAAGAAAAATCATATAAAAATTCATTAAAGCTCAGGAGATGGACACAATTTAGCAGTTGAGTTGACGAATCTGACTGTTTACTGCGGATTATGCAATGTGACTTTGTAATCGTAACTGTAGTTGCATCAGGATCTGACAGACTAGTAGAAATATGAGGAGTAGTAATTCCTCAATTAAAGCATAATCTAATTCATTTAGAGTATTAAAAAAATTTTCATGACAATTGAAGATAGCTAGACAATTGTCAAGAATGAGTATTACTTGGACGAGAAAAATAGAGTAGCAATTCCAAAGAGGGGAATCATGGTGAATAAGTAAAACGATTATATGATTTCAAGTTTTCATTAATACAAGGACAAAGCTGAGGACAAATAGCTATTTTCTATTGCATATGATTAATCTAGTAAGAAATCCTATACAAGTAATCTAAAGAGAGTAACTATTAGGGAAAGTGAATCCCAAATATTTCATATTGGTGCTGGCTTCAGTGATATAAATTCAAGAGTAAGTGAAGATGAACGAGCTTTAGAGCTGATGTCAGAAGATTAAATTTAATCAAGAATTTTATGCTACAAAGGCCTTTAAAATCTAGGAAATAGCTGCTTCTTCAATTCAATCATGTAGTGTCTTAATTCGTCTCGTAGCTTAGTTTTGACCTATGTCGTTCCAAGAGACAATGAGTTTTTATTTAAGGACAAAAATTCAATAAATGCAGTGCTTAGGAAATTCTTTTATGGAATTAGATCGCAAAAAGGAGTATATAGTCCCTAAGAACTGTATACTAGTATTAGTTCCAAAAATTCTAGATTTAAGGGCTTTCAGCAATAAGATGCACATGAGCTACTAATTAGTTTATTAGACAATCTAGTCACTGAGCATGACGTCATAGTAAAACGTTCAAGAGAAGACAAGCTTAGAGGATTTTAAAGAAGCCTGATTGAAGAAGTTTTCGGGTGCTATTTCATTAATACTGGTAATATTTTCTATAATTTTGATATGCTAACCTGAATATAGTTTATTGTATGGAATGCAAAAGAACTTTTAGAAATCTAGAGACAGGCATAGATCTATCATTATCAATTACATTTAATAATTCTAAAAGGAAGAGAATTGACACCTAACTCTCTTTTAATGTATTTTAGAATTTTTAATTTAATTTAGCAAAGCGGGAGGACTACCCCTTAACATTAAATCCAATAAAATTCTTTTAATAAGCTCATCAAACGAGCATTTTGCTCTTGTAGCAAAAAAGAAAAATAAAAAACACACTCTGAAATATCATTATAATAGAATGCTATATTCAATCATCAGCACATTAGGAAGCTATAATCCTAGAACACCACAAAATCAATTATCAAGTTAAATTAATCAAGTTTTGGATTCAAAGATTAGGCTGGACCTCAGGATGCTGGGTAAGACTAAACCAAGTTAGAAACACCAAAATTAGGTAATCAGACCTCAGAAAAACAATCATCTAATTAGCTTCAAATACTTGGAAATCAAGTTAATAACACCAATGAGATTAATAGCTCTTTGCCTATCGTAACTATCAGCTAAATCCCTGCATAATAAAATGACGAAAACCTTCATACCTAAGTAAATGAGAATACATCTGGATAGATGAACAATTCAGAGAAAGTTAGCATTAATGAAAATTTTAACTATTTCAAAATTGATCCTAAAAAGCGTTTTATAAGGATGCCTTTAATGGATAAAATACCATTTTTTGAAGAAGCAGACTAGTTTCTATACTTTGAACCTTAAGCTATACCAGAACCTGATGACGATACTCTTGAAGGATGTCTGGCTTATTTGTGTCGAATCGAAAAGTTTCTCGATAAGACAAATCTATTTTATTGTGAATCTTGCACTAGGGATAAGTACCCTGATGCAATGAAAAAGAGATACAGGACACCAGCCATAAGGCGGTCTCTAATGATTGATCCTCCTAATAATCTTGTGATAAGTCTTAAAAGATTCAGCCAGACAGGATTTTCACTAAGTAAAAACACTAAGAAAGTTTCTTTTCCTATCCTATTGAATATGGACAACTATATAATTCACAGAATAAATAAAGACGATGATGAAAAGATTTCATTTTATGAAAATGCAAGCCTTGACGATAAATGGGAAGCTCGCTATTAGTATAGACTTTACGCAGTTGTGAGCCACACTGGAGGATTAGCTGGTGGTCACTACATAGCTTATACAAGCTATGAATACAGGAATGAAAATATGTGGTTCTATTTTTCAGATACATTCGTAGATAGAGTTAGTGAATAGGATGTGCTGAAGTGTGAACCGTATATACTATTTTACAAAAGGATCGATTGAATTCAAACTTCCAGTCATATAAAAATGACAATCTACTAGAATATTCGAAGTTCAAAGAATATTAGTAAATCAAGAGAATAATATGAATATTTTTATTTAATTATAACTCCTACTATCTGATAAAATTTATTGAATGGGGTTTTGGGGTTTTGGGG